AAAATAAAATAAAGGTAAATAAAATAAAGGTAAAATAAAGTAAAGTAAAGTAAAGTAAAACGAAACCAAACCAAATGAAATAAAATAAAATGTGACAACCCGTATTTTAGATTATAAAGTTATTTAACCAAAGTTTAGTTCAATAGTAAATGCTGGTGGGCTTTTCACAGCCAAATGAAATTTGCTAAACACCGTAATACAACGTATGAAACTTACGAAACAAACGAAGCATTCCGCATGCCAATGAGCACTCAGGGCAGAAATGTAATTATCCATGATGGGTTGACCACACCCCGCACATCGAGGAGCGAACATGGCATAATAGTCTTGACGACAATATGGCTTGCCATCTCGTTCATGGAATCCTGTATCACCAAATGGCTTTCCACACTGAGCGCACACAAAGTGCTCTGGGTGCCAGGTTTGGTCCAATGCTGTCACACACGACTGTTGGTTTTAAACAAATATCTGAATCAAATGATGAAGGTACGACATAATAATCTTAATCTGAAACCATATGATGTGAGGCAGCGACTGCAGCATGGCTGACAATCCTAAACATGAGCCTGTCTTATGGTCGTAATAAGAATATAGAAGCAAAGCAGCCAAATTTTCCACTTTGGTCAAGAGCATCTGCAAGGTTCACTCCAGAAATTAATGTAGCAAGCACCAAACACGCATGTTCTAGGGGAGGGGAGGGGAGGGGAGTGGATGTGATTAAATAATTCACGCATAACAATACAACTTACATCCAGAATAGCCCCATTGCAGTAGGCACACCGAGGTGCAAACGTATCATGATAATCCTTCTCACAGTATGGCTTCCCATCACGCTCAAAGAAGTTCCTGTCCCCAAGAGGTAGCTCACAAGCAATACAAGTGAAGTGTTCTGGATGCCATGTCCTTCCAAGTGCAGTGCAAACCTGACCAATGATTGGTTTGTTGCAGGCAGCACACACACCTTTCTTAGTTGTGCTTACACCTTGTCTGGACATGTCTGTTTGAAGGGTTCCTAGCATGGAATCCAGATGACTTACTTTGCCAACATTTTGACCTGGATAATTGAATTGTGTAAGAAGGTAAAGTTTACAGAAGGCATACAGAACACATACTACATACATATGCTTCTATCAAAAACAAAACAAACAAACAACAACAACAACAAAAAACATAAAAAAGCAACACAAAACTTGAGTAAAGTAAGGGGTTGGGCTAAGCAATATCTTTGAATGAACACCGCATATTTGCCTAGATTGCATTATGTTTGGACTGTCTGAATGTTTGTATGAAGTGATGAACCCCAAAGCAAGCTATTATACCTACATTTTTTTTAAATCAAAAAAGTTAAGCCTCATGAAGAGAACGGAAGAGAGTTTAATTTGATCAAAGAAATGAGATGGACTATTGGAAAGCATGTGTATTAATCTGCTTCCTCACAGAGCCTTGGTTAATTCTCAGGTCTGCCATCATATGTTAGTAGAGTTGCTTGTTGGTTCTTCTCTTTTGTTGTGGGTTATCTGACATTTCCCCACAAAAATCAGCACTCCCAAATTCAATCAATGGAAAGAGGTTTTTTAGAATAAAGTGAAAATGATTACAATAAATAAATAAGTAAATCATCCTTTTTCTTACATGGGCAGCACTTTACAGCCAGTGGCTAACAAACCTGTGACATTCTTTCCAGGATCAAATTGGAATTTAGAAGTTGATTTTCATTGAGGGAGGAAAAACCCAAGAACTCAGAGAAAGACGATGAAAGCACAGGAGAGAACCAACTGGAAACTCCACTCACATATGACACCAAGTCAAGGAATCGAACCTGGGTTGTGCACGTTGATAGGAAGCAAATAATGATGTTAATGAATGAATGAATGACTGTGCTACCTGGAATTTTTTTGGATTTCTGAGGTTTTGAATAATCTCCACTACCTCTGGCTGGAGGCTCGTTAGTTGTAACTCCACCAACATTGACCTTGAAATCTGACAAGGATGCCATAAGATCATCCAGCTCTTTAGTAGCACTTGAAGCAGTCCGTCCTTGTAATCCATTGGTTGGTTGTGCATGGTGATATTGTGCCTGATGATACACAGGCTGATGCACAGATGAGCTAGTGGCACTTCTAGTTGATTGCTGTGCAATACTGTCCAGTTCATCAAGCATGGCATCGACTGGGAAAAGAAAATAGTACATATTTTAAACTCACAGAATATAGGTTCTTTTCCTTACTGCGGTCTTGGATATTCTGCAAACTCAGACACAGCTTGTTGTGAAATTGGTTTTTCACTAAAAAGTACTGACTGATTATTTTTAATTGACGGCAGCAAAAAAAAAACAAATTTCAGTGTGCAGCTTGCAACCGAGTTCGCAGAATATGGGAAACCGCAGTAATAACATTGTACATGATTTTCTTTTTTTACCAGCAAAGATTAAGATATGATTATGCAGCATCGGTTTGAAAATAAGGCTGTGCATTAAAATCAAAACCATCATTGACAAAGGCTCTCAGATGGGAGACAAAATCTTTGATTGCTTTTTATTTTAGCTGGAAAGAAAAGAACATCATCTTTCTTTATATTTAAACTATTTTGACAAATATGGTGAGGTTTTGATAATAATACATGTTTCCTGTTTAATTTAATGCTTTATTTTCCTGATTCTACAAAAGGTCAAAAATAGCTGATTTACAGGTTGAACTAACTAGGAAACAATGAAACAGATTTACCGGTTTTCACAATTTGAAGCTAAAACTTTGGCTCCAGAATATGGCTAATAATATTGACCTCCCTCAGTGCCTACTCTTACTAACCACCTAATTCCTAGGAAAGGGCCTTTGAATATATCCATGTGCAATAACAGTGTTATACAATAAATCATAATCGTAAAATGTACTTAACTAAATTAAACAGTCGTAAGGAAAATGTCAAGCTGCCTCCAACTATGAAGGCCTGATTGAATGACTCATTCTTTAGACCCTTTAGATTTTTTAGAAGTGAGTACAATGAAGTCCCTCATATTGGTTGTACATGTATAGCTTAATAAATTTCCAAGATATATCAAATATATATCAGATATCAGGAGGTATTGGACCCATATCAGAACAGCATATATCAAAGATATTTGGAATATTCAATATGCATGTATATAGTACAAATTGTTATAGATCATACCTGATGGTCTTTTGTTTGTCACTGATTGTCCATTGATCACAGCTCGCTGGCTATTTTCACTGCCTCTTGGATAAGAATCGTTTACTCTTGTCTTTGCTGTGAAAAATATAATTGGATTTGAGAATATAATACCATATATATGTGCTCTCCACTCTTTGACCTTGCAAAGCAATAACAATACTCCCTCCCCACAAACAGCTGGTCTCTAAGCTACTCTGGTTCCTGCTGCTATGAAAATCAATTTCATCAAGAAGCCTAATTATGGAATGTGATTCTACATTCTAGATTTTACAAGATAATGTACAAATTAAAAACATTAGAGATTGTAATCGAGTAAATTATTTTGCTACTCTGCTATCTAAGATTTATGCTAATGTTTTTAAAAATTCATTAAGAACCACGAAAACCCACTAGACCTAACCAATAAATATATGTTGGTTTGTGAGGTTGGAAATCTGAGTAATATCGTCTGAGTCATGATGCGTCACCAGATTGTTAAGGAAAATATATGCATGTATTTGATTTGAAATTGCATAATCAATTATCTATATATTTTTTACAAATGTAAGGTCATCTTACTACATTTGGTAATATTTGCAGGAAGACATGAATATCCCAGAAAAGCTGTAATACTTCATGCTTTTAATACTGTCACACATTGTTAGCAAAAATGTAATCTTTTCATCCCAAAGTGAAACAAAATTAAAACAGTTGTATAATAAATCTCTTATCATTTTAGATCTTAACTTGGGTATACACCATTTCAATAAACATTGTCATCGCTAAAGGTGATAAGCCATTCTGACATGGAAATGGTTTCATCGAATAGGAAGAACATTGAAACAGTCTCAACACGAAGGTCCATGTTCTCACTTGACGAGAACAAGAAGCAAAAACACAAGTCACTCTACAGCTATTCTTGGATCTTGGAATGACCTATCTCCTTTCTCTTTTTGCATATTGCCTGTGGCCTTTGGCGATGACATTGTTTATTGGAATAGGTGTAAATGGGATGGGTTTTTATTCTTAGACAGCTAACAATTATTGGCAGGCTTTTTGCAACAACATGGCAAGCTTTGCCATCCAGCACATTTTCCCATACAAATGGTTATACAATATTCAATTTTATATTCAGTGCCATTTCTCCTATAGTCAACATTATAAGCTAAATCTTTGCCTTCTTACTAATATTGAGGTGCTCTTTCGATTTCTGGTGTTCATTTTGACACAACATCTCTTTTCATAAGGGGTAGGTCACATGACCTGTTGTTGCAAAAGGCCTATTTCTTTCCAATAATAGTTGACAAAATCAGGGTTTTTTTGCAGGAATTACAATGAAAATAGATGAAAATCTGAATTTCAAATAATTTAAACTCTAAAATATGCTAAGCACAATTTCCCTACTATTCTGCACTATTTTCAAAAATTTCTTCATTTTTCTGCACTCTATCAGATACTCTGTCTTTGTAATTTCACAAGAAAATTAAAAAATTCTTTCCTGGGATACACTTGATTTCCTTACATGGTGTAGTTCCAGAAATTATCCATTTCCACCCCACAGAGGAATTTGGAATTTCCAAAGAGTGGGGGGGTGGGGGTCAGAGAAAAAACAAAAATTACAGAGTTTGTATGGAAGGAAATTGGAATTTCTGGGGGGTAAGGGGGATTCCTCCGTGCAGGGGGTATGGATAATTTTTGGAACTACACAATCTAAAAATCAGTGTCTTAGTATAGGAAATCGCACGATCTCGAGTACAATTTGGAAATTAATAGACACGAGTAATGTTTTGAAAGTTCTTGTAATTGCACGAGCCTTTAGGCGAGTACAATTATAGAACTTTCAAAACATTACGAGTGTCTATTAATTCCAAATTGTACGAGAAGATCGTGCGATTTTTCGTTTATAGTTCACTCAACAAAATTTCAGTAAAAATGGGAAGCGACGCCATTTATCTTTATCTATTTGGCGGCCGATTTCCAGTCCATCGCGCAACTGAAATGCATAAAAAAGATTAGTTCTTACAGCTTTAAAATTTTATTTATGCTTTTTAAGTACAAAATGATAGAAAATAATTGTTTTGACATTGTTTTGGCCTTGTTGCCATAGCGACTTAATTCGGTACTCCTACGGAGTACAATTAATGCTATAATTGTACTCCTCTCGACCAATCAGAGTCGAGTAATTTTGTTGAGTGTACTATAAGGTATGATATAGAGAAAAGTCAAAGTGCTTTTGTATGGAGTAATTGCAAGCATTACTTTACTTACTGCTAGTAGTAACCAGTGTAAGATTAGCTTTGCTAAACTGGTGTATTTTATAAATACTTTCTTAAACCTTTTTTAAATAAAGTTTACTTACTTACTTACAAGTTCTAATCTGAGTAAAGTGAGAGTATTATTTAGTAATTCATTGTTGATTAAAAAATTTCTCAGGCTGGTCATCAAACAATGTCTGCCGGGAAATCTTTGCCTTGCCAGTCATTTTTACATTTACCTTGAGCCAGAAACAAAGTGTGAATGAGCTAAAACTAATTTAGCCAGTCACCATGACCTGCGAGCAACCATGTTATTTCAAACCCTGTTTCTGATTTCATAACAGTTATTACTTTGAATTTTTGAGCTTGATAGTAACAAAATGGTTGAATGGAAATTAAACTTCAAAGTGTAAAGCAAGTTAGTTTTTCACACAAATTTATGAAGTTCTATCCATTCAACAGCTCCAATAATACTAGATATAAACAAAGCTGAAGAAAATCCAAATCCTTAGCTCAAACTAGATTAACACCTGAATATTGAAATTAACCATGGAAATATAAAATAAAATTGCATTCAAAAGTGGCAAATGCGCTATATAAGAACTTCCCATTATTATTATTATTTTCACAGTGGCTCTTTATTCACTGAAACTTCAATTGGAATTTAGAAGTTCATTCTTGGAGGCATGAAAACCTTCCAACCACAGGAGAAAACTAACAAGCTACTCTCTCACATATGACTGAGCCCAGCTGGATTCAAACCAATGCATTGGTGAGAGGCTAGTGCTGTCACCACTACGCCACCTGTGATTCCCTTCGTTTTTATTGTTCACCATAAGCATAGTTCAAAGGAGGTTAATGTGAAGGATGGAAGATTATTCACGAATACTGTGCTTTGAAAAATGAAGTACTATATTTGCTGTCAAGTACATCCTACTTACAAACTCAACTAAAACCACTTGAAGCACTTTTGTGTGCTGTGAAAATATTCTAGTTTATAAAGACACATGTGTGACTTGATGTTTTTAGATGATGATGATATGATAAATAAGTGAAAGAACACTTTTGTATGCTTTGAAAATATTCTAGTTTACAAAGACACATGTATGACTTGATGTCTTTACATGATGATGATATAATAAATAACTGAAAGAACACAGTTGATTGGAAACTCAAAGCAGCTGCTACAAAAGTGAAAATTTTAATGCAATTTAGCTGAATATCGGGACAATCTTTTCTGCAATTAGCAAATGGGAATAAAATATAGATTTTAAAATCCTAAAAAAATTGTGGTACATGTGTACAACTGAAATGGTCATGTGTAAACAAACACTGGCATTATGTATACAATTAGTTTACACAAAAAAACCTCCCATCTTCCAGCAAAACACAATAGCTACCACAAAGTTACTACAAAAGAATTTTTCAAAAATATAATTTCTATTCAAGCAAATGTTCAAGTCTTAAAATATAACTTTGAAATTCTTTGATATGTCAGTAAACAGTTCAACAGCGTATGATACAATTATATTTAACTCTAAATCTGGTTATTTTGACGCTATGAACACATAACAAAAAGAAGCATGGTAGCTTTATATTGGAATATTGACATCTGCCTCGCGTGGCTGGATAGATTTGCATTATAGCAAGTACGGCTTAGAAAATCCACTTACACGTAGCTTTAGAAAGAAAAATCATTTGAGATTTTTTTGTTCTTTTTTATTATCGTGTGAACATTGGATATAGCCATCAACACTGTTTCCTGTCGAACTTAATAAATATAAATCCGAATCTCAGTGCTGTGGAAGTCCACAATGGTAACAAGACACAAGATTCGTAAACTGTAATAGTTGTTTGTTTGTTGCAAATTTCGATGTCTTCCAAAACAGAAGATCGCCTAGATAAAAATTATATTCATAAGCCAAATAAACTGAAAAAATCAAGAGTATTCAAGAAATTTTGAGCAATAATAAAATAAATCAACACTTAACATGGAGGATCTTAAAAGAAGGTTTGTTTTTTACCTGTGGGATCGCTACTAGGGTATTCTGGTTTGCCGAGGTCCTCTAGAAGATTGTCCAATTCAGATAGATTCATAGCTAAACTTGAACTCGAGTGAGTGGTTGTAACATCTGGAGGAGGTGGGGGGAAGTCGTCTCGTTGGGACGTTGAAGAATCGAGGGGTTCTAGTGCGTCCAACGATGGAGGTGGAGGCAGTGGTGGAGGTGGCGAATCGGGAGACGATCTTCCATTAACTGGATGGGATCCCGATCTTGTGCTATTCACTGCTGCATTATTAGTCGCTTGAAGATCGGCCAACAAAGCATCTAGAAATTGAATATTCAGCTTTAGCTTTTCTTGGACTGTAAGGTTTTTAGTTTTCCCAGGCATTCCCGAAAATATCTCAATCACTCAAATCCGAATATCCACAGCAGATGTTGCGTTTTGGTTTTTTAGAATGAAGTTCGTTCCTATTTCCTCTTCCAACGGTTGCTACTCATTTGCCTCTATTGATGTGACACACACAGCTATACATAATTTACGAGGCTTTCTACATGTGAGTACGCATGTGGATATGTCAAGAATCGAAAACAAATGCATGCATTTGTGGCCTATTAGATCGATCCACAAACAATACCACGACTTGCAGATACAGCTGGTTCGTAGCTCTCTTGAGCAATACTGCTTTCCACAAGGATCGAATAGTACGATTATAATTATATAATTGGCACAGGCGTCCAAGGGAGATTTCAATTATATGATTTGCGCTAGTACCGGAAAAATTATGCTAAAAATTGTTCGATGTACTATGAGATAACCTCAACCGAAGGAATTTGATATATAAAGATTTACGGTCGTTGGAGATCGGAATGCTCGATAGCAAGGAATTTGACGATAAAAGAAATTGTCATTTTCTGTCTGTATAAATAAGTAAAATGCTTGGAGATTTGTTTAGTTCATTTGTAAGTTTGAGGACAGTTTTTCTTCATGTCTGGGTCCTTTCAAATGAAGTCAAAGTAAGGGAGACAATTCCAATTGAAGCCAAAACGATAAACAGAATTTGTATCTTCATGATCATATGGCTTCATACTATTGACAAAATCATCACAGTTAGCGTACCACAACATCACAACCTCTTAGTGACTTTCTAAACAAAGCTTTATACTAAACGAAATTACAGGCACCAAGAAACCACTTCAAAAAGCACGAGATCATAGTGAAAATCTCCGAGAGAGCCCATAAACACAAGAACTATACACGCACAAACAAACAAACCAAAGGAAAAAAATCCAACCAAACAACTCACCTAAATCTTCCATGCCATCCATCTTTGACGCTTTGCTTTTGAAAGCTATTCCCTCACCTCAGCAACAGAAGAAGAAAGCTCAGAACACTAGACCAAACCCAGAAACAACGAACAGAGAGCCAAGAAGGTCAAACGTGCAGAAAGACGATAGTGCAACCCTCGAAATTATTCACCAAAAGAGCATTCGGGTGCGTTCGGGCTGTCAAATGACACGTCGTGACGAAGTCGGAAATATTGACGGCCATCGGTTCTTCGGAAATGTCAATCAAATAYTATTTGGGGATTCCACAAATGCCACAGCTATTATCTGGTGATTGTTTCACTCAGGGCGGGTAAAATGCGTCATTCCAAAGGATAATATATCGATTTAATAAAAGCAAAGGAATCTGTTTAGTGCTGAAAGTAAGTTATTATTTGTTTTCCTTATTCGCTTTGCAATGCTTAATAGATATGTTTTGATGTTTCATTTCGCATTCATGAATACTAGTAAACGCAATACGAATTCAAGGTGTTTTATAAGGAGTAAATAAATTAAAAATAAAACTTGTAATATTAAACACCAATTGGGCAATTGAATTTTAAATTACTATGCAGAAACATGAATAGTTACGGTACAGTATTCAACGACAAAACAATAAGCCCATGTCATGATCCCGGAAATATGATCACCGTCAAAAAAAAAAGTTGAACAAACTTTATTGAGAAGCAGCAGATTTAGAGCGGTTAATCAAAAATCTGGCTTCACAGGCATGTGACCCGGCTCTCAAAACGGAATCGCGTTTCCCTCTTGGTGTACAACTGGATTTGGTAACAAGCTTAGGCAGCTCCCATCCGTTTTCACAGTATGCCATTATGCTTTCGCCTGTTGAAACAAGAACCACTCACAATCTTATGCAGCAAGCGAATTTGTGTCTAACTTCCTTTTTTTCCTTCTTTTTCAATTGACTGAGAAGTTTTGTTCTGAGTTCAGTCTCTTTTTGTCCTTCTGACACGAAAAAATCAAATCAGAGCGACTACTAAGATGAAAAGATTAAAAAGTTCAGAAGAGAAAGGAAATGAAATGAAAAAAGAAAGAACACACAAAGCAGGCATAAAAACAAATGAAAAGAAAGAAATTCTGAATATCCGAAAACTTAGTTTGCAAATCTGATTGGGTAGCTGGAGAGTAGCCGTGGGTAAACGGGAAGTGCAGTCACAGTTCAGCAAAACAGGATGAGCATGGGCTTATAACCAGAATGGCTTATCGGGGAAGGAGATGGGAGGGGAGAGGAGGGGGATATTCTAGGAATTAAGGATAAAGAGGTTAGGATGAAGAGGAAGCCGAATTTTGCGGTTTATGCATTTCGATGCTCGCACTTTTAAAAAGTTGTTACGCATGCCTTTTTTGGTTATGACTGCATATAAACTATAGGGGGTTGGGGAAAACAATATAACGTAGTTTGTATAACACATCCTAAAGATCTTTTTTTCCGCGCTCCGATCAGTAATAAATTACATAGGAAGTAACGTAAAGTAAGCACAAAGACATTGCATAGAGAAAAGCGAGCCGTAGGCCTCGAGTGCCTTTGGCGATTCGTAAGTGCTTGTTACTGAACGGAGCCCGGAAAATAGCTGTTTTAGATTTCAACCATGTTAGAATCATCCCTCCCCTTAGACTTCAACCATGTTAGGATCACCCGTCCCCCTGGATCACTCCTCCCCTAGACTTCAACCATGTTAGGATCATTAGAGTTCGACCATTTCAAGTATGATAAAAATGCTTCATATATAGATAAGTGAATATGGCCTAACACTAACATATTTATATATACTTTGAATATGTTTTATGGTACCTTTCTAAAATTAAATTTATTGTAGATTTTGATATTATTGTTAATGATGACCTTTATGAGGTAAGGTGGTATGTGACCACTCCCTTAGACTTTATTAGGAGCTTCCCTCCCCCTAGACATTCCCCATGACTTCTTCACATTAGGTTGGGACCCTTGGTACATTCCTGATAATGATTAGAAGTATGATAATTTTTGTGAATATTGCAGTATACTTGAAAGTGGAATATGGAGTCCCCCAGAGTGGGGTTACTCCCATATGATGAAGGACGGGTTCAGTCGAAATCGTTGTTACCTCCTCTTTTAGGGGTAAGAAAGGAGAAGCTGTTGGTTTTTACCAGGTGCAGTGGGGTAGGCCAATGATGGCCCCAAACATTAGACCAGATGACACTCATCAGTTATATACCTCAACCGTGTTGCAATAAACTCCATGATTTTCGTTTTACTTGATTTATCTTGTGTTTCAAAGTGGTATCTTTTAGGGCTCAAATTAAACAACCACGCCCAAACTCTCTCTTTTAGGGGATAAATTTTTTTTTCAAGCATCATCCCTACCCTTTTTACATGGTATTATCCTGCCAGGATGGAATCTAATTATTTTAAATTTGCCATAGCCTGTCCCATTAATTTTTTACTAGTATCATCCCTACCCTTTTTACATGACATTATCCCACTAGGATGGAATCTAATTATTTTAAATTTGTGATAGCCTATTCCAGTCTGCTTATTAAGACTCAATGCAAACTGTTGTAATAAGTTTGATTTATAGAAGCAAAAAGATGCTTATATGTATGTGTTGTAGATTTAGTTCAACGTGATTCCTATGGGAATTTAGTAATGAATAGAACAGTTGCACTATTGAGCTGACTACAAGATATTTAATAATTATTTAGTATCATAATCATAATAATAAATTACAGTGTGCAACCAAAAAGTTAAACACAATGCATTTTATGCCAAATTTGTAAATGTTCATGCACTATAAAATTCTGAACACTTTAGTTAGTTTATTTCCCCCTTTTTACTCAAACAATTTTGCAATTTGATATATCAGTGTGAAAAGATTTTTATTTAACATAAAACTGGTATTTTGTTAATAAATAAAAGTGTGTGTGCTAATGCATGCAATATATTATTATATAATATTAATCACATTTATTATATTTGTGAAACTGCAGCTATATTTTTTACAAAAGAACCTTAGTGTGTATTGGCAGAATATTGGGAACAAAAGCAAATTACCTCTATGCATCTTTGTTTGGTACAGACATACCTGAACTAACTATATAGTGCTTAAATTCTCATACCGTGCTGCTAACAGATATGATTATGGTGTGCACAAAAATTTTCACATTACATAACACTGAACAGAAAAACATTTTAGGTGGATCTAGAGTTTGGTGGTTTGGGGAATTTGTACGAATCCCCTAAACTGCAAACAAACCCCTAAATGAGAAATACCAACCCCTTTTTTAGACCATATTGATTAGATTGAAGCCCTTATAAAAAGACAATAAATACACCCTTAATAGAGGTCCAGGAAAGAAGGTAGCCAAGCAGTCAAACTTTTATATGAACTCCCTTAACGAAAGTCCTGGATCCCACCTCCCCCTCCACTCCCGTCCAGAGTCTGGAGGATAAAAATCATGGAAATAGCTCAATAATTAGGGAATATCAAGAATTAGCTCAACAATTAGGAAAGATCAAGTCCATTATCATTATAATATTCTTGAATGACATGGATATTGGAATCTAATTCATCTACAAAGTTCTGCATCTCTTCCAACAGGCTTAGTTCATCAGCATTTCCTCTACTCAGCAGCTTAATAAAGTCCTTGCGGTATGGTACACTTTTCACTGCAAGCTGCAAAATAATCATTTAATCCATATCAACACTAGGGTAGATGCATATTACGATATAATGCAAAAATGTTTTTGTTGTCCCAGTGAAATTAGAGCAGTTTCATTCCCTTTAGTATCATATTATGTTCCTTTAGTAAGTTTTTTTAGTACAAAGAAATTGTGAAAAAAAGAATGTTCCCTTTCCTGCAGTACACTGAATAACAAGGGAACTCAAGGAGAAGATTATTTATCAATACAAAATTTTTGTATCATCTTATCCATCCATCTATCCACCCATGCCACCCACCCATACGTTCACCTACCCACCCAACCATCCATTCATACACCCACCCATCCATTCATTTACTGATTCCCCAAATAAAGGGGAGCTAGGTGAGAAGTTATGATTGAACACGAGGTGCCCGAGGTAAGATAATATGAACAAATGAAAGGCAGAATATGTGGATGGATGATAAAATGAGGAACAGATGGGTAGATGGAAGAATGGATGAGTAGATGGATTAATGGATGGGCGAAAAATACTGGAAGTCTTATTGTTTCTTTTCTAGTGATCTACAAATAATGTTTAGCCTCTCTTTGGGCATGGATGTATGACCGCTCCCTCATATCCAGAAGATCTCTGAGGATCATTGTAACAAGGCTAGGGTTGAGCATTTTCTTTGATGAATGGATTTGTTACAATGAAATGTGCCTCATTATTATATTCCTTCTACTGTACAGCACCAGCCATAAAAGTAATAAAAGTTCCTCATTGGCTAGTGACTTATTTCAGAGTGGAACATGGGAGGTTGGCATCACTTTTCACTCATTAACATTTCTAAAATTTGTGCATCACATATGATTTTGAGGCTCATTAATGAATCTAAATTTAAGTTTTCACAAAAATCAAAGCAACCATTCATGAATCATGCACATTTTAAGAGAAGAATCACCGGTTACAGCAAACATGGAATGTGTAGCTCCAGAAATTATTCATACCCCCTCCCCCCACAGAGGAATTCAGAATTTCTGAGGGGTAGGTGGGTCAGAGAAAGAACAAAAATTACAGAGTTTGTATGGAAGAAAATTGAAATTTCCAGGGATTGGTGGGGGTGGGTTAGATAACTTCTGGAACTATACAGTTCATGAATTACGCTTTACATCCACTATTTTCATGTATCATAGTTATTTTAGCCAGAATCATGTGTCACACATAACCTTGTGCCATCATATGCTATTTGTAAATTTATAGTACTCACACTAAAGATTCCTTTTACTATAAAGTTGTGATACTGCTTCAATGTTTTCTCATATGCAGTATTAGCACATTTGACCAAGTCCTGCTCTCCAGTGAGAACTTGCTTTAGAAAGGCTAGAACAAATTGCATAGCCCTAAAAATATAGATTATTCAAAAGAAAAGTGTTGATAAATTCAAAATATTTGAAGCATTTGAAAATTTTGCTATTCATCTAAGAAAGAAATTTTGTTGTCGAGATTATATCCTTATAAAAATAATTTTCTTGGACAAACCTTTTGAGCCACAAAAGAGCATCTGTACCAGAATTCTTAGCTGTAGTCGTCTTTGCTTGAATCTCATTATCAACGATGCTTTGTAGGACCCTGAACTTTTGTGGACTTTTTTCATAAATAGCTCTAAGTTTCTGCAAGTTCATAGTAAAATTTAAAAAAACAGTTATAAGTAGTATATGTAAGGTGGTTAAGGGTTATTTTGTGAAACATGATTTGACCATTTTTAGTTGACATGAAGATAAGAATATTGAAACATAGTTCAAGGAGTGTATAGAGGATATAGCCCCACAAGCTTCTAGCTTTTAACCCTATCATTTCTCGAGGTCACAGTCAATAAGTGTTTTGATATAAGTGTCAAAGAAAAGAAAGCAGTAACATTTGATTTTTTGATTATTTGATTTCAAAAAATGTAAAAAAACATACATTTCCGGGAAAATCACTTCCGGTATTGATATATTCGCTGAAAGCTGTTGCTATGGAAACACCCACTCAGAGTACAAGAAAAATGGACTTTGATAGTTGGTATATAACAATATCATGGCTTATTCATGGCGTGGAGAACTTTGGTAAACTGATGTTAGCAGTGCACACCAAATAATAGAATATCAAAACATTCTTATTCTAGGCTCAGTTTATATTGACCAATGATAGTAAARAAAAATTTCTTTCATGATTTATAGGTTGGTTTACTATCTGCTGAAAATGAAGACCATGCACGCAGAGCATCATACTAATATTACCTTGATGTTTCCATTAATGTCCATTTTTACTGGTGCAAAGGTCGTAGGACCAAGAACATCTGAAAAAAGGTAGTTAAACATATATCATCAACTTTGCTTCAAATCCTCTTTCTGCATTTCCAGCACTTGCTTATTCAGTACCATTGGGCTTACTCAGGTAGCTAGCGTAATTCACTTTTTTAGGCCTCAATCACCAGTAACTTTGGTACTATACTACAAGCCAGCCTCAATTGCTGATACTGAGAGGGTTGCCTCCACTGCCCAAAGTTCGAATGTGTAGTTCCAGAAAATATCCTTAACCCAACAAACGGAGGAAATTGAAAGAAAAAAATTAGAGTTTCTATGGAAGGAAATTGGAAGTTCCTGGGGGTAAGGGGGTCCTTTTATAAATTCCCGCCATGTGGGGGGTATGGATATTTTCTAAGTTGCCCAACTTACAGCAGTTGCACTGTAGTAATTGTAAAGACTTCATATTATTTAATTAATAACTTTAAAAAACGTTTTCTAACTATACAAATCATAGCCCAAACATCATGCTTTCAAAATCTATGCATCTTATCCGTAATCTTACATTCAATAACTACACAAATCATTGCAAGATTTAAGCTTAAATTTGTGCATGTTCTCTTCTACTGAAGCTTTATATATAACAGATTCTACTGAGAGAAGTGAAGCAACAAAATTTGATAAACATTTCAGCAAACAATAATGGAAATCATTACTTGAATTTCTCTCTTTTTCATTTTAGCCACTACTTCAATTGCAAGGTTTTCAAGGTCAGATCCAGCCAAAATTTTATGGGGGGGGCTAATTGAGTTTAGGGGGGGCTAATTGAGTTTCTTCCGTCAACACAATGGAAAATAACATAAAAGCCCCCCTTTGCCCCCCCTGGATCCGCCCTTGGTTTTCCCTACTTCGTTAACGAAACTTGTAAGTATTTCCATTAAGTCTGTTGCTTTGACTTAATAGAGATCTCCAATTTTGTGGCAGAGGCATGGCCAGCTCTTGCTCAGTTGGCTTGGCAAAGAGAATGATCAGCTTAATAGGTGTCTTGATGTCATATGAGGGTTGCGCTACTCCCTACCATCAAGAAGGTAACCATGGGAACCAACCATGGTGTACTGTCTGCAGCTGTCAGCCTGACACAAGCCAGTGGAAACATTATACCCACCTCTAAACTTAGCAGGGAGAGGGAGGATAGGATCAACACACTTTGAGCAGCAAAGCAAGAGGGGAACAAGGGGGTTTGGGGTGTTGTGCTTCTTTAAGTGCGGTATTTTAGTGATTTGAAGCACTACCGAATTGTGATGTTGCAGTGATCTCAAACCTTGTCATGTACAGTGTTTATGTTATTTAACGTATAATGTAAAGCCAAACAATCTGATTGATTGCGAGTTGCATAGTTTTCTTGGATTTTTCACTGATTCTATGCTTTAAAATCACATGACTCTTAAACTATTGTGGTGTCAGTGTTTCTTTGACTTTTTGTGCGTTGATGAGGTGGATTGGTGAATTTTTAAGTGTTGTTGCTGTGTTCAAGACCGTTTGATTCATGGATATCAAAGTAAATTTTATGAGATATAAATTTTAAAATGAAATTTTTTTAGTCTTCATACTCATATCAATTCATATAAATGATAACATATATTTTTTGGCATTTTACAAAACATTTTACAAAATAAATTGTGGTTGCGCGGGTCTCCTGTGTTATAATTGTATAAACATGGCGCTGGGTCGTGGATGTTGTTGATTCGGCTGGTGTGTGATTAGTAGAACAATTTAATATTTAATGTAAAGCAAAAAAAGGTGTAAAGCTCTCTGCGATAAGTTGTCAATCAAGAAGTTTCTCTGTGCAATAGTGGAATTGCAAAAACTAGTATGCAAAAACTGAGGTACCAATTTTTGCTGAATCCTTTGTTGATAGAATGTTTTTTATCTTTTTTTGCTGTTGTTAGTGTTATTGGCGTGTTTAAAATGTAATAGACCCCTTTTGAATTCCAAATTACCGCTGTGTTTCTTGATTACAGACTCATTTGTACAGGGTTAGCCTTGAGTTTGTGCAGAATATTCATGTGTTCCAGTCAAGGTCCGTTGACTTTCAAAATGTTTGTATTGTTGAAGTTGTGCATTCTTTACTTTATCATTGGTATTTGTGAATATTTGAACACTGATACGAGGCTAACCTTGTGCAAATGAGTCTGTAATCAAGGAACACAGCGGTAATTTGGAATTCGAAACTGGTCTATTTCTAGATCAAGAAATTGATTTTGGGCTAACTCAACTTGTAACTCAATCATCATTTAGCCAATCCCTTACTGCATATATGTTTAGATTGTTGAAAATTAGATTACATGGATGTAGTAATTAGATTATCCTTTTACTTATAACTTCACAAACCAGTATTTGTTATATATTTTTGTTTTATGTAATCTTATGTTTGTTAAAACTACGAGACAATCATAAAATATTCAAACTTTGCAAAACATCAAGCTGATGTGCCCCTGGTCAGAATTCAATCAGATACCGAATTCAAACAGATCCATTCATGATTACATTTCTCACTTAAATAATAATGAATTTTAAGTGCAGATTGTCATATTATTGAGCTGGAAGGATATTTTGATACAGGATTAAGACTTATATATAAGCTTACATATAGAAATATTTACAAAAAAAATTAAATTATATATGTTCTTATTTAAAAAAGAGAAGAAGAGTTAAAACCTTAGGAAATCAAAGTTTCAACAGTAGTATCTTACAGCAAATTTTACACAATGTATTTATGTCATTATCATAAGGACTCACCAAAGAATGGAACTATTTCGGTACAGGCTTTCAAAAATGGATCCGTTTCTATTCTTCCATCTTCAGGAACAGGCAAAAAACGGAACTTAGCTTCAGAGAAGAACGTCATGTCTTTTTTGTATAGCGATTGCCACAAATACAGGTGGAAGTTGGTCGTAAATCGCAGTACAATTGAGAAAATCTGTATCACGCCTGCGAACAAAACGAAAACCGAATAGTCTTTGAAAAGACTGGAACCAAAGGTCGATTTGGTTATTGTGAGAGAGGGGAGGGAAGAATTATAAGGTAGCAGCCAGCCACAAACTCATCTCAGAAACGGTAATAGAGTTATGAGTTAGAAATTTTTATCTTTTCATTCTTTAAAATGAATTGTAAATATTAATGTAGCTTCTATTTAAGAGATGAGGCGGTAAGCCGTGTGGGATGGGCTCGGAAATCATATAAGAACATGCGTAATACGAGCCTTGTATGAAACGATTGAAGAAGAGGGCCAATGGGCCTTTCACAACTTCAAGTCGCGTAAAAAATAAGCCAGCTCAACTAGAAACAGTGGACGTACTAGTTGCCTAGATGAAAATTACTCATTTGTTAAGTTACCAATAAAGTGTAATTATTATGTTATTATAGAAGAGTTCATTTATTGGCATTGTTTTTAATGAAGTAGGAACCCTGTGGGGAGACATAAAATGTATCGGGAATTTCCACAGAAGGGATTTTTTGGGATTTTTAATATGTTACATAGGGCACCTCCCTTGACATAATAATGATAAAAGAATATATTGAATTTTATTATTAGTTGGAACTGGTCCTCAAAAACATCGTAGATTGACTGTACTAAGGACTCCTGACATCCCAGTGGCCCCCGGGCCTATGAGTTGCGGACCATGCCACACGACGAAATATGTTGGACACAATGACTGACACAGACACCAGACACAGACAAAAACTTTCCTGGAAACTGATTTTAAATTAAAAATGATATTCATTATGATATAAGAATGATAAAAACTATATATTCATTCCGGAACTGACCCTGCTAAGGCCTAATTAAGCAGACGTCCGCTTATATACTTATTATTATCAAAAAAGAGGGTTGGAAATGATCAAGCCAAAAATACATGAGTAACTTGGTTCTAATCCCTATTATGACGCTATTTTCATTTTTGTTTTGGTTCCGCTTGCGAATTTGTCCTAATTTAGTCATATTTGTAAATATATATATATTTGGCGTTGGACAGTGCAGTGTTGGAGAGAGCAGAATACTTCCTAGCAACCATAGCTGACTACATCCGCACTTCTTACGTGGGCCGCCGACGTAGGCCATTATGAATTGTTAGAAAGTAATAAAGGAATACAAAAAAGTGACAATAGTTTTCGGTGTCTTTCAAAAAAGTAACGACTTCCTCTGTCTCTCGTTTATCAGTTTTTTGTTTCTATATACTTGCGGGTAAACTCCTTTTCTTCTCCTGAGTTCTGACTTTCCCGCCTTATTTTAAGGGTTAATCAATTAATAAACTGCTGTAAAAGTAAAAAGCATTTATTTAGTTTTTTTTTAAGCTAGAAAAAGACGGTACTCCCGAAGTTCATAATCATGGTTATGAGCATGATTATGAAACTTATCTTGTTCATGAGCCCCAGCTTCCATACAAAAAGAAAATATTAGTAAATTCCCACCCATATTTTTTTTAGAAGCAGGAACTCAAAAACGACGAATATCGAAGTTCCTGAGAAATGTGGGGCTATTGTAGGGTGCTGAAAGCGGTCGGAAAAAGAAACTCAAATCAAATCCTTTGTTTCGGGCAGTTAACGTTCCCGCCTCCGCCACTCGAACTGAATGATGGGAAGTGTTTTGTTCTTTCAACATGGCGTCTGAAACAGGACATACGGAGATTCCACTGAAAGAAAATGAGGTAAAACCTATGTTTTGAAGTCTGTCGAGACACTGATCATTTATTATTACAAAGTTTACTCTTTATTTAACTATGACAGGGATTATTATTGTTCAACTTGTAAATCTTTGACCGGTAAAGAGGTAAATTCTATAACCAGAAAAAATAACCCGACTAGCACGCGATAAATGGGTACGAAATCCAACGTAATTTCAAAGTCCCGTCTCAGAAATTGCCATTCTTAGAACAGGGACTTTTTGGTATGAACTATTTAAGTGCCGTTGAGTGCGACATGTTTGCGCTTTGCAATCAGAATTGCCGTGTTGCCATTCGCTTACAATTTTATTTTCTATAAGATGCAGGTTCACACACGTAAAATCGTTATTCGTTTTCAGCCGGCATGCCGCATACGTGATTACAAATTCAAACGGCATTACAATGATTTGTTCAAAATATCTTTTTGGAAACCTTTTCTTTCGAATCACGAAAAAAACTTGAGATGACGTATAAAAATTGCCGTTTGTTTTAGTCGAATCGTACGTATTTGGCCAAACAGTATTTTCGAATTCAGAACCATATATTGGCGTTATTCCAACAAGATCGTCAGTCCGAACAATACGAACCGTTTCCCCTCGCCCTTGTCATGTACCTTCAAATTTCTGATCTTGATAATGAAAGTATATAGCGTTCGAGTATTCTACAAAGTCTCCTGGGTTATGTCATTTGAAATAAAGTTTTGTTTAGCCTAGAAAGGCACTGTTATTTGAAAGACTGGCCTCGAATTTGACGAACAGTTAGTTACATATAGTTTGGCTCATACATTCTTTTGTTTGAGCTTACTAAAAATGATATGTACATTCTATAAACGAGATATGAAAGTTGCCGAGTTAAAATCTGTACAGCATTTTTTATTCAAAAATCAACTCTCAGCACTTCTACTTTTATGGTCATTTTACTGTAATGTCACATAAAGAGTTGGTCTTCTTTTCTTAAACGCGAATATCATATAGAGGAGGGAATTTGAATGGGTTTTGAAAAGCAGCTGGACATTTCGACCTGGCTTGCAATCATTATTAATTCTTATTGTTTGGATTGGACTAGTCCATTGGTTGCATTTACTATATCATAATTCATTGTTGTTATATTTTTCCATTCAAAATGTCCTCCATTTATAATCTAAATATAGATTTTTCTAAATCTAAAACTATTCTCAACTTGTAATGAGAAAAAGAAAGGGATTTTACTAGTCAAGTCTGTATAGATTATATAATATGCTATTTGGTTTCTTCTCAATATTAATTATGGTTTGAAATGGTTCAAAATATTCCTTTGCAATAATTGCCAGTCTGGGTTCATATGAAAAGTAATGATTAAATAAATTTAAGCTTATGATCTTTTATTAAATGTATTTTACTACCATACAATAATTATAACTATGTCTTTTATAATAATTTCTTCTTCATTTGTTTTGTCTGAACATTTCTTTTCCATGAACTTATTAGTACTGTGGTTTTTATAGCAGTGATATAATTTTCCTTTCATCAGAAATACAACAATGCATGCGAGAATGCGATTTTGATAACAACATGATTCATTATAGTTCCAAAGAAAGGGGGATTTTTTTTGAATTACAAAATTTCATTTTATGATTTGTTTTTAAGTTGTGCCACATAAAATACGTGTACGTGTCAGCAGTGTATATACTAAGATAATCATTTTTTATTATTTAAAATTCTCTCAATTAAACAAATAAATTTTGTGCTAAAATAATATTTTAAAAATGTTCTATGTTGTATTTTGTCATTTAATGTTATTTTATTAAATTAAAATGCTTCTAGTACCCAACATGTTACAGAATGCTTTTGTGGTATTTACTTGGTCAGGCATTTCAAATATGCTCTACTCATATGCATACCATATAATTACCCTTTAATTAAGAAACATAGTCAATTCTGTCCAAGCTTAAAGGGGATTATATGAAATCCTGTAATCGTTACTTGTTACAGACTGAACATTTTATTAGTAATTACAAACTGCCTATTAATTCATAGATACTTGAATGATATATTGAATACTTTGAATTTCAGTGATGAATAAAATCATAACATTTTAGTGAAATATTTATATAGGTTGCTGGCATATCTGGATTTTTAAACTCTTGAATATTGCTTCAAAGTATCATATTTAATTAAATTTAGGTATTTACTTTGTTTTTAAACCAGGAAAACAGTTGATGTGGCTGTATGAGTGGCAGCACAGTTTAAATGATAAAATATTTTATTATGCTCACTATATGCATTGACTTTGCGCGACAGCAAAAAGGCTTCTAAAATAGCATGTCAAAATAGAGATTAAAACATTTTAGAAAGATGTCAAACTACTTTATAAAAAGGTGTGGTACGAAGAGTTCAACCAAACTGATACAAGGGTCTCAAGATTATCAGGTCTGTTGAGATGTCTGGAGCATAAAACTTCCTTTTGGCAGTGTTGTTTTCCAGGGCTTATTTATTTCCTTGGTTGTAATTTAACTCAATAATATATCCATCCAAAAGATATATTATGTTGTGTTAATGTTCTTATAGCAAGAACAATGTATTTATTTAAATTTTTAGTGACGATGCATATAAAATCATCTATTATACCTGCGTTGGCTTAAAAACTTATACTTGTTTATAGTTGCACATAAAATGGATTTGATAATGTGCCATCATTGCAGTTACCCAGGCACTATTAATACAACTATGGCTCTCGTCATAGGTATATTTAGGCTATGTTTACATCCTTGTTAGAGGCCTAGGCCTCGACCTTTTTCTACCATAATTGGCCTCTTTAGTATATGTCATGTGAGTAGAAGTTTTCACTAGTACACTAAAAATAAGATTTACTAATACAAGAAGTATTTAGTAAACACTATGCATTCAGCAAACTTAAAATTCTTGTTTTGATGATAAACATGTACAAATACTTTTAAAATATATTTATTATTTACTGTTTAACTCCATGAATAACGCTTTAATAAAGCTTAATTTTTTAATTTTTAATTTTAGAAAATGAACTCTTCAGTTTGAATTATGATTGTCAAAATATTCTGAACATTTGCAAGTGACGTGTCATAATCCTACGTCAAGTATTCTTCCAAGCAAATTCGACATTGCTTTGAAATATTGCACTATTTCCGCATATCAGCTTCCTACATTTTCCTTGCGAGATTAGAGAGAGCTTTCTAGACTAAAAGCAGCATTCGTTCGACGTTCGGTAATCTTACGTATTGTATCCGTTTTTGACACGTTATACATGTTTACTTTTGATTTTAAAATATGCCAGTTCTGTAATAAAGCACTACAGATATCGTGATGGGTTTTTATAAGGAAAAAGTGTTGCTATACATTCTTTGGAAGTTGATATTGTACATTGGTCTGTGGCTATAAACAATATATACAAGAATTCCAGTTTTACAGTGTTGTGAACAGAAACAAATAAAAATATCATTTAACCGTTTTCATAAATGACCTATTAAATGTCTAATAATCTTTCAGATTTGGTTCACCGTTCTTAAATGTTCAGCGCTAGTAATTTTTACAATTTCCAAAATAGTGTTCCAAATGTTTCGTACGAAACGTATGATGCAGCCAAGTACTCGCTTTAGCAGTATTTTTTTTCGCTTTCGGTTGACTTTATTAGTATTGTCTGATTTTAAAGGTTTAATATCCCTTTATCTTTCCTGTCGTCTTATTCGTCAGCCCAGAATTTCATCCTGTTATTACTAAAGTTTTGTTGAAAAAAAATGTTTTAACGTATTTTACGACCTTTGTTTTCTTTGAGATATTTTTGCCTGTCGTTTGCAATTCAAATGCTAATTTTAAGAAAATTTGAATGTTTTGCAAGTAATTAAGCAATAGTGATGTAAACGTGTTTCACTAGTTCGACTTTAAACAAAGCGGCCACCAGCTCGTTCTTTGTTTCGCGTGTGCTAATGGCTTAATCTATTCAATAGACTTTACAAAAAAAAATTCTCGCAATTTCTTGATTGTTTTTTGCTTTGTAAACAACCTAGACGTCTGTGGCATGTTTTGTAGACCTGATAAAAGAATGAACATGGTGCCCATTGTTTGGCGATAAAGTGAAGCATTATTATGATAGGCAATATTTCTGTTTTAATTTATCATAAAATATTGCATGGGCGTCGGACTTTATTTTAGCAGTCGTTTTTACTATTTAACAAAGTTAAACTTTCACATTCATCACTTTGAACTATAATTCATACCTTCCAAAAATACTTTTAAAATTATTTGCAGCTTTGTTTTTGTTTCGACTGAATGACATTCGAGTGCCAAAGAGAAGCCGTTGCTCGAACCATTGTTATACCAACGGCAATTGCATGTATTTTAGGCGGGAAAGCTTGCATGTATTTTTGAAGTTTCACTTGAAACAATCCTTTAGCAAACTAGTTTCTTTATAAGTCGTCAACGTTTTTGGAAACGGAATTTAGCAGATTCAAATTGCCGTTTTAAGATTTAGTCAAAGAAGTCGAAGTTCTTTATATGGTGTTTATCACTAACTCTATTAAGCCCCCCCCCTTTACAAATAAGCCCCTCTCTGATAGTTTTTAAAGTAAATAAAATAAAAAGCTAACGCGGTTACAGGACGTTTCGATGTCATTGACATGATGCATGTAATATCATTGACGTCTCTCTATATACAAGACAGTTATGTTTGAACCATGGCAAAGTGGCTCTTGTTATAAACCCTAATATAGGGATAAATCTTATAATTGTTATACTAACAATAGTTTCGCTACATCCATTAGCCCCCTTCTCCTCAAACGGGCTGAATAGAGGATTTCTCGTATCTCGTATCTTTTATTTTTCTAAATCTTTCATTTTACTCTAGTATTTACTCATTGCCCATCAGATAAGTACATCTATCATTAGCGAGAGAGATTATCTTAAACTTCGTGCTTGCGTAAAAGCAGATGACTCAAGTCCACTAGTGTTTAGAGGATTTGAAGCTATTGTCAAATTTCGAGTATTACTCCATAAAAGTGACAACAGTTAATCCCTATTAATCCCGAACACGTTTTTCAACCGGTAAACTTCAAGGTCAATATACAAACCCGTAACCCTTGATATTAAAGTTCGAAAAAGTAGTTGCTGATTTTTTATAGAATACTAGTCTGATCATAACGGCAGTAGATGTAAACAAGAACGAAAATATGTAAAATGGGATACGTACAAGTTCGAATATGAAGACGTTCTATAGCAGCATTTTATCAACTGTGATATCTGGATCCGAATATATTTCTGATGGGCCCACGAGGTCTCGCAGTCCGCGTAGGGGAGGCAATGTACGATTTTCCCGCCAAAACACAAGCGTACGCGCGTTTCATCTTGAAGAGTTTTCCGCTACATCCGCAGCTTCAGTAAAAGTTTTCCTCCCTACGTCACTGACTGTCAAGAGAAATCTTATGTTTTCTGAAGTGGACATAGCATGCACTACTATTTTTTTAGCTGTGTCTTTGAGATGACTTGTGTAGGAAATGAAATAGTCTGGAATGTTTTTTCGACTAAGCTAATTTTATGTAGCATGTATAGCATGAAAAGCTTCAGCAGTTGTCCCAAACAGTACAGTAATATTCTAGGATTGGCCGCCTTTTGATAGCATTATACAACGATTAATTTTGTACTTTGAAGTAGTATAGTAGAATAATTTATAGACTTTGGCAAAGTCCTTCGCGGTCTCCGTATTACTTCACGCGCGCCCAATAAAGCAAAGCTAGCCCAACCAGAATCACAAGCGCTGGACTTAGACTCTTGCTTTTCCCCCCTCACTTGCTTCGCTCTTGACTCTGAGAGTCTCAGACAGGCAACCTTTGAGTGAGTCTATATAGATTCCACTTTCTATCGATTTGAAATCATCAAACAACCTAACATCATGCTTTGTGTAACTTTCTTTTGCAGGTTCTGATATATCAAGAAGGTAAACCTGTTTTTAAGGTAGAAAGAGGAACGCCACTTACTGTTATAAAGATGCTATATAATGCCGACCCTAAAAACAAAGGAACCGTCATAGCAGCCCTAAGACCCCGAACCGATGAATCTCTACCGTGTCTAGTAACTTTGGAGAAGTCTACATTAACACAAGACAAATATGATATTATTGCATTTGGTGAGTTTATCCCAAAGGGAAATATCTGATGCCACCAGAAACAGCCATTTTTTACCCCTTGAAAAAAATTGCACACAGAAACAATCACATGAACAACGTAAACCGTTATCGGACTTGGAAATATGTCCCCTAAGACATCACCACAATATACAGTTATGCCACCTAGCTCGACCCAGTTTTTTCCTCGACCTCGTGTTAAATGGCTGATAGAATGATATCAAAGGTGATTTGTTATTGCATACATCTGATCACATGTTTGTTTTGTGTGTTAACAGAGCAACCCAAACCAACACAAAGAATACCAGACTATCAAGTAGGCCAGCCGATTATAACAATGGGACCTAATGGTCAGGTACATGGTGCAACAGTATTACCCGCAGGCTGGCCGGTAAATACAACTGGTCTAACCTACGCTCCCGTCAATCAACTATTACACAATCACACTTCTGGTCATATGCCTATTACGTCAGTTAACTCGGCAAAGACTACGCTTATGCACGCGACTACTCCGATGTCGTATGTTTCGCCTGTAATTAGTAATGTTATGTCAAGTGCAAATTTAGGAGCTATTGGTGGTCAAGGGTCCTTTTCAAATATAATCCCCAGAAAAAGTCCCTTGAGCCTTAAACCCGTTAATACGCCTTCAAGGCGAAAACGATCCAGCCATAAGACTGCATATCCCAGAAAGATTACTTTAGTTGTGCCAGACAATGTGACCGAATCACCTGGAATTAATGTTAAGAAATTTCTATATCCAAAGCCGATTAATAGAACGGGTAGAACCAATTCAGAGGACGCGCCACAATTAGGCACAGACGAATCGAGCTCAGTAGTTGTTTGTGATAGTACGGCTGGTAATGGACACGAAAATGGACGGCTTTCTTCCGAAGGAACTCCGTCTCCACCCAAGGAGGAGCGTGATCGATTACTTCACCCTTCAAACTGTCAACAAATTCACGAGTCGAGTTCTCCGTCGTGGGAGCAAAGTGGCGATGATGGACACCCTATTTATCACAACCAACGATCTGATGGTAGTTCTCCCGAACACGACTCGAGTCTCGAGGAGGGCGATGGTCACGCAGTGATGATCGACAGCGATGAAAAAGAAAGTTTTTCCGCAGGCAATGACTCTGACACTGGTATCATAGCAACGCAGAGTGGAATCTCAAGCTTACCCGAGAATAGGCAACTATTCCGTAATAGTAATACTAGGATACAACATGTAGAAGGGTTGGATAGTAATGGTTCGCATTACACTAGTCGAGCTCTCGACGAAGCTGCTCCGTTTCCACGCGACAACTATCGATCCGACGACGATAACGAAGAAAGTGACGCGTCTTTACAGTTTACCACGGCAATTGTGAGGCTTGAAAATACTGTACGAGTCAAGGCTGAACCGCTAGAACGAAACAGTAGTCCGTGCAGTGGCGCTTTTAATAACCTGGAATCAAATGGGGACGCTACTATGACAAAACAAAGAGCCACCGGTCACTCTTCTAATTCTGTAGAAAACGAATCTTCTAATTTCCTTCCAACTAGTTCTGTGCGAGGAATTGAAAACGATGGGGTGTCTGGGATGCCCCCTATGCACCCTGGTACCCCGAGTATATCTACGGGAATGCCTAGTAGTTTAACGCCGTATCCACCCAATTACCCTCGAACAGGTGATGGTGTTGCATTTCGATGCGAACAATGTCAAAAAGAATTTGATACTTCGGCTGCTTTAGAACGTCATAGACGATCACATAGCGGAGAAAGACCTTATAAGTGTAAGATATGCGGTTGGGGATTTAATTTAAGTGGCAACCTAAACCAACACATGGCCATACATCAAAAGGTGAAGCCATTTAAGTGCGTCTATTGTGGTAAAACGTTTGCGCGATCGAATGTTCTCAAAGCGCACGTGCGCTGCCACACGGGAGAACGTCCTTATCAATGTGAGCTTTGTGGTGCTAAGTTTATTATTCCACATAATTTGAAAAAGCATCTCCTGAATCGTCATCAAGTTGTCTGGGAAGAGAGGAGATGGTCATCTGGTAAAGCTGAGAGCTGAATTACCAACAGAACGGAAATAAAACCTATTTTTCTCGATATCAAGTGGTTCCAATAAGGGGAGATTCATTCTAGTGGCCAGATCCCGATTTTAGATGAGATGTTTGAATTAACTTAAGTGAATTCCTGTACTTGGAGTACTATTTAATAGTATCATGTTATGAGGGTTAAATGTTAAGGCTTCGAAAGAGATAACTGCAAGGGGGTGCTTGTAACTTACGATGAATGTTGCTAAGTCTATTGTTGATAGCACTTAATGTATTATGGGTATTAATCCTACTCTCAAGACCAAAACTACATATATTATATATATATATATATATATATATATATATATTGCAATATGCATAAACTTTGACCCTCCCTGATGGACAACTCGAAAAAAATATCAGGGATCATATCCCATAATTTTTGATATACTTCTAATATACTTGTATATTTGCACAAATGGTCAAAGTTTATGCGAACCGCAGTATATATAAATGAATAAATATATATACATTAGCCAACTTGGTAACAACGTCTAGTGTGGTTTCCCATAATGCATTTTGAGCCCTGTCAACAATAGATGCACAGACCCGTTCACAAGTGAGTATCTTGTCTTAAAAACAATCAAAAACAGCAAAATTATTTTCAAAGAATACAAATAAGTTGTCAAGACAAAAATAACCGCTTCGCTGAGAGTCTGTATATGTAAAAAAATGCGTTCTAGTTTGCTTGGTTTGGATGGCAAATAGGATGTGTGTAAATAGATGTACGCTGTGCGTACGGGTGAATTGTTTGATCAACTTTTTCGTTATCAGATTGACATCGTCCAAAATAGTATATAAGAATCCTGCAAGACGGTCTTTGTAGAAATTAGAAAATACTTCGGTGTTGGGATTATGAGTATTAGGGTTTAACATGCCGCTTACGACAGCAGTCGTCGCATCGTAAAATAAATTACCCTAAAATTGGCGATGCTCGATATATTTTTGTGCTTTGTAACACTTGAAAAACACGTGGCCTGTGCGAGACAGCGCATGCGACGTGTTGACTTAACCAATCTATGTCAAATCTTTGTTTATTCTAATTTGTTTATTCTTGTCGGGAGAGATCAGTGTTCCCCTGCTATGTCTCTGATCGAAGGAAGAGGACGAATGTGTTACAATATGACATCGTAAAAGTTGATCTCAAAGGTAGAGTTATTCGATATTTCTATTCATGTAAAGTCAGAAGTTCTATTTCGTTCATCAAAGTCGACTGAAAAAAGAAACTATGATATGGTTTGTAGAGCAGCTTGCGCAAGAATGGAAAATATGGAATGTTACTCGCAAATGGCTTTCCTTTGAAATGACGCACTAGAAAGAATTCAATCACTACGCAGAATGATTGAACATAACTGGGAAGCCATTCGAGAGACAGAAATGTTTCCCACTCGAACCATGAAAATCTGCTCTATTTGTTTAGTAAAGTAAACAAAGTTCTAAAAGCTCAAAGGAATTATATTATATTGTTAAGAACGCAGAAAATCCTTCAAAATATTAATTATTGCCGTATGACGTCTTGTGTAGCTCGTATGTTCTTTTGGAATGATACCGTAAACCTCCAAAAATGCCGAACCCTGGGTTTAGTATATTTGACCAACGGTGCCTTTTTGGTCATCCTAAATAGAATCACGTGGTAAAGGGCTTATTTTAGGAGATTTAAAGTCAGTGAATGGATTACTGAGGAAAAGAGCGGGAATGGGTACAGGTAACTTGCTGTAGATTTTTCAAGATGACATTTGTGATAAAAGGTAAAAAAATGAGAGAAAGTATATCCGTATGTCCTTATCAGGACTGACAAGTTGATGCAGCTATCGCCGGACAGCAGACAGGTTAGTATAAGTACTGATGCCGGTGTGAACTACTTTTCCTTCACTCGCGAACGTCTTCGGTACTGTACACTTCATTTACCTACAACGAACAAAACATATTTATTTCAATGTGGAGATTGGTATCTTCCTATAAAAAGAAAGAAAACTTTTTTTTATTCAGAGAAGTAATGAAATATCAAACTAGTCAAGAAAGGCACAGATCTACTGAGCTCGGTTGTGCGAAGGGTGGACAGCGGTATTCGATGGATAAATTGCCCTATATCACTATGACGTCACATCAAAACAGTCTGTTTAAACGCAAAGGATCATGGTCGTCGGAGGGGGTTCAAATCAACACAAATTCACCGAAAATTGTTCTAAAACCCGTATCAATCCACGAAGAGAAAGTATAGAATAGCCAGCAAACTCTCAGAATATTTTTTAGTACATATTAACACATTATATCTAAAAACCAGGCCATTTTAGATTAAACTGTTTCGCTAGTCTAGGAGCAAGTTTTGTTGAATTTTCTATTGGATTTGACGATTCCCCACATAAACAAGCAGTGACGTCATAGTGAAATAGGGCAATTATATCCAGTGGATAAGTCGATGCTCTATATCCAATAAATGCATCCACTGGACTAAGATTTATCCGTCGATTTTATATAAAATTTAGTTTTGCCACAGGTTTGTAGTGAGGTCCAACTAAGACTCTTGGGTACTATTGCGCAATTTTGCAACATTCTGACCAAAAATAACCACGAAGAAACGACAGGCATTCGATTGCCACAGAAAACCCAATTATTAGACGCTTGGATGTCGTGTGCACATGTAAAAGCTTACCAAAAGTGTAATGTATCATTTTGGAAACTATAGAGCGTTTTTATTTAACTCCAAGAGAATATGAAGTCTCTTGTTTAAATTCACAATACAGCGTCTAGCTAGACATGCCTAGAAATATTCTCCTTATACGGTTAGAAAAACAGATTTCTTGGAGAGTTGACTAAAGAGTTTGTGATTTTCTCGCTTCGACTTTTTCACGGCGAAATAAGTTTATTTCGGGGTCAAGATAGCATTGGAGTGCATTGTGGAGAAGTTTTACAGTAGGGAACATTTCCAAGATGGCGTCAACTAAAACAGTCCCACGATGCAATGCAATCCCACCTTCGCCCAGTTTTCAGATTGGCTTTAAACAGCCTTGTCTGACTTTACTCTTATTCTTGAAGTAAAAAGTCCGATCTCTTTACACGTCCAAATCAGCCAAATTTCCTATACAATTTTGGTTAGAAATGATAAATTACCTTCTGTAAATCGATCGTTCATTTTAGCGGCGTGTGTTCCACAGAGAGGAAGCTTTATTTCGTCCAGAAATGCTTGATTTGAGGTTCTTTGCCAATCATTTTTTACTCAGTAATCTCAAAATATTTTTATTTAATTCTTTGAAGTTTTGTCCGCAGCCTGTTGCTGCAGTAAAATGGAATGAGACACATAAGAATGCACATCACGAAAACAAACAAAAAAATCATTCTACCTTTTTATTTATTTTAAACAACTACATAATCACTGCTTCTACTATTACGATGATCTAAGGCAATTCATATTATCCTCGACTAGCTGCAAAGCCTCCATAGTGACGAGGTACGATTCGAACTAATATTGCCTCATCAATCCATTATTAAGGCATTATTAGTTTTAATTCTCCCGGCTTAGTAAGCATTAACCTACAGGCGTTCCACACAGGAACACAATTGAGAGATGAATAAGGAAGTGACGCCACAGCGGACTCCATCAGCGATTGTAAGCAGGACATTGTCCTTTCATGGATTCCCATCCCTCGTCAAATATTTTCACGATATCTAGAGAACAAACGATTTAACATGAGTCAAGTTAAAATAAGCTCTTGTTCGCTTTCCTCGGTTGACAAGTTATCGTCTTACCTTCATGAAGGACATCTTGCTTGGAGGCTTTTAGGTTCTCCTCGAGATGAACCAAATTTGAAGCTCCAAGAATGACTTTATCTAATGAAGTAATTCAATCATCCATTAGGTCTAAAGATAAATACAGTATAAGCGGACACCCTTGCTAATTTAGCGTCCGGGTTCGCTGAATAAAGGTTCGTTTTGCAGTAAATATGGATAGAACTTTTTGGGACCAGAACCAGTGCATGTCCGCTTAACAAAGGGTGTCCGCTTAATTAGGGATCTGATGAATAGAGGTACCACAGTACCATCACGGAGCTGAGTAGTGGCCTGAGAGGAAGAATCCTACTCAAATGGAGGTTCCACTAAACTTAGCTTTCTCCCTTTCTTGACTTTCCGATTCATTCTCGCTACCAAACTATTGATGATGATGATGATGATGATAGTGATGATGATGATGATAGTGATGATGATGATGATGATGACGAAGATGTTCACCTCAGTGAATCTTCTGCCAGATCCCTCCTATCTCCTGTCTTCCATAAAAAAACGTCCTTTTTTCACGAGGGTAGGTACTCACCGCCATATTTCTCTGACATCAAAGAGTGGTGGTAGATCCACCTCAGTGAAGCTTCTGTCGGGCTTACTTTTCCCTCGCCATAAATTTCATTTAACTTGACCTTCAACTTGTCAAGAACATCAAACAAAGGCTTTTTCCAAAATCTTTCCCTATAACTTTAACAATGATGAACATGTCCTGTTAATACACGAGCACCAGGTGTCCAATAACAACCTATACTCTTTGAAACCACAGTCAATAGAGGGATCTCCCTATAATCTGAACATAACCTGGCCGAAAATCAGGCTATAAAACCCTTTAACACTCATGGGATGCATCTCATTTCGGTTGAAAGATGAAGCGTATCTTTGATGTATTATGTATTATTATATAGATATCGATGAAATACCAGGTTTTCTCTAGTGTCGAAAACTTGATATCTTTCACCAGTAGAAGATACCATATCTTTCTGTAACCGGCGGCAAGGCGCTCAGCTATGAATCAGATTGCAAGTGGTTTTGACAAAAGAATTTATTGAAAAAT